CTGCAAAAACAATCTAGAAATAAGTAAAAATGTCTTAAATTAAGTGTATTTACCTTTAATTTGAGCAGGTAAATGAGATAGTTTGCCAATGAAATGAGTAATTTTACTCTTAAACTAAGATAATTAGATAATATGCACTTGAAATAAGACAATGCAATTGTGTTTTCTTATTTTAAGTGTAAATTGTCTTGTTCCATTGGCAAAATGTTTCTTTTATCTCCTCAATTCAAGAACAAATGCACTTTTTTTAAGAAAAAATGACTTATATAAACGCTTCCCTCCATTTCTTATTTTTCGTTTCTTCCAGGAGACGACGCATCGATCTGAGAGTAAACTCATCCGAGGAGCTGAAAGAGAAGATCATCCTTCGCGAGCCTGCGACTCTCACGGGATTCTTGGAAAAATTCAATGAGTACATGCACGTGATAGCGTAAGTGAAGACGCATCAACCTTATGATTGCATAACTGGAAGGAGTTTCCTTCCAGCATGAGTTGCAGAGCGTGACGCCAGGCGCCATAAACAGTCAATCCAACGGGGGGCGTTCACAATCAGGGCCTAAGTCCACTTTGCTATCACACGTGTGTGGTTGCTGCAATTATGATGCTTCCAAAGTCTTTAAAAACCTAAAGGTGTGATTGATAGAGTTGGTGTGTAAAGCACAGAAGGATTATGTAATGTAACTCAGCTCCACTGGAGGGGGGGCGGCGGTTTGAGATGCCAGACATGTAGAACAGGAACACCACATTATTGAGATCAAGTGTCGTCTTGGCAAGCAACCAGAAAAGGACACTAAACTTGTTTGGGGCGCTTTTCATGTGTCACTCTGTCTTATTTTTAATCGAAAACAGACCCAATGCAGGCTTTCAGATGCTGCTGCTCTGTAGTGGTTTGGCCTGCAGCACACAGGCTGTGCTGAATGGACCCTTCTGTGCCTGTAGCCTGAACATTAGGGAACTTGCTGGCTAGGTTTAGCTTGAGCAGAGCCATAGTGTGAGCTTTTTTTTTTACTTAGTATTAGGAGGTTGTTGAGAACAACAGTCATTCATGTTGTGAGCATTCATTGTAAATGCTGAAAGCTGGACTCTTTTCTGCATTGTGATGTAAAAAAGAATCCTGGACTGCAAAGGAAAATC